GTATTTCATAATTGGAGGGAATCTTTGAGATCAGTGGTTTTTTTTTTTTTTTTTTTTTTTTTTTTTTTGTCTTTTGTCTTTTTTCCGTGTCCGGCAACGGATCGCAACCCTCAGTGTTGCCCCCGTACCGGACCGGGGACCGGCAACGGGATCGCAAGCCTCGGTGTTGCTCCCGCGCCTCGCTCAGCCAGTGAGCGGGAGCCGGTCTGTATGTGGGATCCGAACCCTCAGACGGGAGCGCCGCCGTGCTTCCCAAGCGGCGCACCATCCAGTGCGCCACCGGGCCGGCCCGAGATCAGTGGTTTTTAATCTGGAGGCCTCAGACCCCCAGAATTTATACATTCTGGGAAAACCGCTTAGTCTAATTCTGTTAATTTACAGATGAGGAAACTGAGAGGATAAATAATTTATTCAATATCACAGCATCGTCTGTTAGTGAAAGAGTCAGCATTAGGATTTGCTTATTTCATATTTTAGAAGTTGTGAAAAAATTACCTAATTTTATTTTCTTGGGTGTGAGGATTTTGCATTTTTTATCATGGTATTTAGTGTTCTTAGCATTTGGAACCCAAATGCTTCACATTTTGTTTTTGGGTTGCTTTGAAATGAGTATGTATCAAAAGGGCCTGGTTCCAACACTAGGATTTATTAATTTGAACTCCCTCTGCTGGCCAATTTTCCAGCAAAGTGGTTAAAAAAATTAAATAAAACAAAACAAAAAAATGTTGTAGAGGTAAATTGAAAGCAAAAGCAAAAACAAAACTTCATACCAAATAGGTACTATAAAGGGCTAATTAGTTTCAAGGTCTATTCTCCCATTCTTCATAATTTTAGGGTTGTCCTCATTCACCTCTACTCTAGTACTTTAAACAGAATACAAAATTAAATTGTTAGCATATGAATCTGCAAAAAGAAAACTTATTAGTCTTTTATAGTTTAATCTCAGATGTGCATACTAAATGCATAATAGTCTTGTCAAATAATTAACATGTATTCACATTTAGCAAATAAGGATACACTTTATACAAAAGTTCTGCTACTATAGTTTTCAAAAACATTTAACCCACTAGCAGGAGAGGAGACAGTTCTACCTTTTTTAAAGATAGATAATTTTAATTAAATACAAAATACTATCATAATTAGAGGGGCAAGCAATAGCTTTTCTTCTTGTGGAATGTATGAAAATATCCTTCCTTGTATTCTTTATGCTTCTTCCTATTTTAGACAGGATAGTCATCTCAAGTGATTTTTCTTTCCTTCTTTTCCCTTTTTTTGGGGGGGGTTGGAGGGGGGTGGAATTGCCTATTGACGATCTAAAAGGAGTGACTTCATAATTTTAGTCAAAGTAGAAATGAAATATTTAATAATTCTTACATCTCACTAATGCAGTCTTCTGAGATATTGATTAAGCAGAGAGATCGTTTTCTAGGTTCAAAATTTTAAAACTTTATGAAGATAATCAGAATTTTATAACAAATGGTAACAGGTAGTTTTGTGCATTCATTTGCTGTGATATCCAATAACATATGCCAATTAAAACCTAAACTTTATATTGGCAGTTAATGAATACAGCAGAATGATCAAAGCTGAATGCTAGTCATTGTCATAGATGCAACCTGAAAGAAAAAAATACAAATTTAAATATAGTTATATAAAACATACTTTTTAAGCGTTCCAAGTTTGGAAATGTTGGTGATTCATATTCTTCTGGTTTAGGATTTAAAAAGTAGAACTGGTCTACTTTATGAAAAACTAGTTAAATGAAAGCCCATTATATTTAACTTTTATTGTTTAGTATAGAATTCCCGCAACACTTCTGGATAGATTTATTCTCTATCAAAAAGAGACCCCAAATTATTTTATTTTATCTGGCACTTAATTAAATGTGTGTTTTGGTAGTCATTCTCAATGAGGTTGAAAATAGTAAATATCAGCAAGAATCATAAGTTTAAAAGACTAAAGGGCAACATGATTAGCACTGTGCTTCATTTCAATTGAGATTAATTTTTTAGATCACAATTTAGAAATATATGATGCTTAGGGAATACCAGTATTTTTGGCTATGAACTAAGTATCTATTTATTGGCCAAGTACACATATTTATTTGCCTAAAAGGAATTCTTATTAAGATTCACAGTACAATAAAAAATTCACCAAATATACTTCTGTTTTCAAAGAATATAAATAAGAGGTTTCTTCTTGATTTCCAGTCCTGTGTGAAAACGATTTCCCCCTCATTATACCAGTTCATTTACCTTTCCTAATGTTTTCAAGTGATTCAAATTGTGATCAGATTAGAAGGCTCTAATTAATCCAATAAGCTATTTTTGGTATTTGTAAAAACAATAAATTCACTGTTACTGTTCTCTGTGGTGGGTGCTTTATGAGACTTACCATCAGCAATATCATCATAGATCTCTCCATCACTGTAAATATAGAAAATAATTTTTATTTTAAAGAAAATATCTTCTTAACATTTAAGCAATATAAAGAAAAAAGGGTACTAATATGATTTTATATAATACAATTAAGGCTTTTAAGGGTGCAAAGTTACATACTATGCATTTATAAGTGGGAAGAAACTTAATATTCTCTTCATACTAAAGAGAATATGAAGAAAATTAATATATCTCTTTAGTATGAAGAAACTTAGTATATCTCTTCTTTCATTGGCTTAATCTAATTTTTCATTCAACACACAGAATAATTAAAGCATGCCTCAAGAGCAGACTATGCCTTACTCATCTTTGCAAGAAGTGTTTGTTGAACTGAACAAAAAGAACCACAGTTACGGTGCAATACTCCGTCTGGGCGTAAATTCAAAGCTGTAATGAATTTTTATATCCATTAATACCAGATTCATACTTTCACTTGAATTTCAAATGTTGAGTGAAATACAATAATATTTGGCATAGGAAATGCCTGCATCATTTTTATGTTTCTAATTATAACTTAGTAAAAATATATGAATATTAGTTACAGAACAAGTAGCCAAGATAAAGTTATTATGGTGATTCTTATGTTATACAATTCTAAAAAATATTAATTATGATTATAGGCAGCATGCATAATAGTAGTTTCAGCTACTTTTACTATTTTAGGTTTTTCCCAGCCCTGGATCTTTGTGAAATATTCTATTCAGCAAACATACTGAGTCCCTCCTGTATACCAGGAGACATAAATATGAATAAGACACAAGCTTTGACTTTAAGCAGTTTATAGTCTAATGGGAGGGAGAGTGATATATAAGATATAAAATCGGAAGTATTATAAATATTAACATAGCCTTGAAATGTAGGACACAATTCTAAAGCTCAGAAATGTAAAGTGGCTTTGTCACTGAGCCCAGACCGGCTCTTGGTTCCTGTATTATCTCTGTGTTTTATCATGGAAGCAGCAGCAGGCCTTTCAAATTGCTGCCAACTATGGCAGATGCTGTGAGTTCCCTATGTCTTCTGTTTGGATCCTTTCTCTGAAATGGAAGGAGGGTTTGGCTAATGGAAATCTGATACAAATGGAAAGAGGACAGATTATCCTGATGTTCACTCAAAGAACATTGAAATATTCCCTTCCATAGGTGGTTGAAGCAATAATAATTTGGAGAGTATACTTTTTAAAGGATGAATTCTCTCTTAATCAGCCTCAGATAATAACTGATGAAGATTTCCTATTATTTGCCACACATTCTTTCCTTAAAATGCGTACCTTTCACAGAGCAAAACTTACTGAAAAGTCCCATGCCTACCCCCACGATTAACACGCTGAGGAAAACAAAGGAATTATGGTTCTTTCTCTGTTTACTCTCTGCTAGTGTGCTGACATGATTTGCCTCTTTCTTTTCGGTGTCAGGTTGTTTATAGATACACAGTTTATGAATCCTCCTTCATTTTTCATTATGCTGAATTGCTAAATCTTTGTATTGGTATCTGACTTAAACTGATAATGTTCATTTCTTGCATTGGGTTACTTGGAAGAGAATCTTAGAATGTTTTGGGGGACTCCAATGGCACTCTAGTACCAGACTGTGACAGGCTGTGACAGTGTCTTATTCATAAGAATAGAAGAATCATTGACTACTATCTTTTTTCTGGCATACTTCCAAAAAAGGCAAAATAATACTCTACTATGCCTGGTGTGGGCGAAGAAAAGCCCTCAATGAAGGTCTAAACTATAGCAGTTAACAGGTGATATTAGCACCTGTTGTGCAGACACTAATTTGCCCCTAATTAATTTAATTCAACCAACTATATTAGTTAGCAAGTGAAATGCAAAGTATTAATGAAAGGGTTAGTGGTTTTGACCTGCCTGTCTTCAGTGTTTGCTGAGTGGAGGCCCAATGAATAAATAAAATTATGACCTGTATAATCATGAATGAGAAGGCTTCTTGCCTATGTAAAAGAGTGGCACTATATGAAAACCTTAACTTTATATGGATACTGTCATACTGACATTAGTATAGCATATTGTTTTTAAATTTATTTATGATAGTTCAGTAGGTTACATTATTTAAATGATATTTGGAATCTTAAAGGAAAGCACAAAATTCTTTTTACAATTATAGTAGAAGATAATGGGCTTACTTGTCCACCAGATAATTCCGAAGGACGTAACCATCTAGGAAGGAAAAAAGAAATAGATTTTATTAGTAGTACAGTTTTGAAAAATCTTTAATATTTCTTTTAAAAATTGAAATCCAAGTGAATAATTATTATACTATAATATATTGAATAATTGTCTTTATCTGTGAATGTGACCCATTATTCTTGGGTCCACTTTTCTCTCATGTCTTTCTTCTTTTCTTTCTTACTTTTCTCTCTCTGACATGTCTCTTTTTCCCTCTATTAACAATCTTTCCTCTTTTCCCCTTTAGATAAAAGAAAAAAATATTCACTTTTTTCTCTAAACAACTGTAGGTCATAGCACACTGTTCTTTCAAACTTTAATCTATTTTTTTCAGGTTGTTATTCACATGACCCAGTTTTAGGAAGAATATAGTAAGCATAGGTTATAAAAGTAGTTTATAGGTAAGTATTTTATTTTATTTATTTTTTGAAGGGATTTTAAAAAGTAAAATAAGACTATTTCTTGACCACTGTTACCAGTACTTACAATAAAGTAAGCAATATACAGTTGTATAATATTTTGATTACTACAAAGTTATTGTTTTTCTGGCTTCCGCTGAACCAGTAACCTAAATACTGATTGAGCCTACATGTAAAGAATGAGTTGGGATAAAGAAAAAACATGCAGATCGATAGTTTAGATTACAAAAGTTTGTTTACCAATTTATGCCAGCAAGTCCTTAACTGCCAACATCTCTAACCATCTGATTAAGTTTCAATGAGTCAAGTCTTAGACATTCCATAAATCATGATCTTTTTAGTCAATACAAGGCAGGGATTTCAAATTTTTGTAAAGGAAGGGCTCACCAGAAGAATCATTAAATGTTCATTTAACTAAGTCTTTCTTAGCTAATTAAAACACATCAGAATTTGTCTAGTTTCCTCATCTGGGTAGGGAGGTTGTTGGTAGTGATAAAATTTTTCTTTCAAGAATTTTTCAAATAAACCATTGCATTTACATGACTGTAGCTATAGATATGGATTCTGATATGGCTCTGCTTTGAAATTATTCAATTTAAATTGCCCAATCAATTATAGATTCATCTTTTTAATTTGAAAAGTTATGGTTTCAGGAAAAATTTCAATTTAACTTGAAGTATTTCTTAGGTTGTTCAGAAGGATGGCATCTCAGAAACATGGGCTTACTCATGGTTTTTGTTTTGGTGAATGTTTAAAAACAAATACACAAAAAAAGAAATCCATTTACGTATGTATTTTATGTATACGTACACACAAAAACAAAGCAAAACCCCAGAATGGTCCTTAGGCATTTGAGTTAAACAAATTCTGATTGAGTAATCTCTATGGAAATTTCTCCCAACATTTAGAAAAGGCATTCTCTAATGTAGAGAAAATAACATACCACGGTATCAGATGTTCTTTTCTGACAAAAAAAGAAACTACAGAAAGTTTTTATTTATTTGTTCAAACTAAGCAGAGCTGGGTATGTACCCAAAGGAATGGAAATCATCATGTCAAAGGGATACCTGTACTCCCATGTTTATCGTAGCTCTATGTACAGTAGCCAAGAGTTGGAACCAGTCTAAATGTCCATTGATGGAGAACTGGATAAGGGTAATGTGGTATACATACACAGTAGAATACTACTGTACCATAAAAAAGAATGAAATTCTGCCATTTGCAGCAACATGGATGAACTTAGACAAAATTATGTTAAGTGAAATAAGCCAGGCACAGAAAGAGAAATACCGCATGTTCTCACTCATAAGGGGGAGTTAAAAAATAAACAAATAAATAAAAAAAGAAAGAAAGAAATATACAACATTAGCAATAATTCATTGAACTTTCAAAAGGAGAGGACAGAACTGAGGCCACCAGAGGTGGAAAAGTTGAAGGGAGAGGGAAGGATTAGCAAAAATTGGTAAAGAGCCACAAAAAATTACTACATTGTGTAATGCTGAATATACCAATGATCCTGATTTTAGAGTCACATATTGCACAGAGGTATTGATATTCAACACTGTACTTCATAGTTATGTACAGTCAATTGTGTTTCAATTAAAAAAACAATAAAGTAACCAGGGTTATCAATGCAAAAGAATCCAAAATATCCCTCAATACTACTTTCAAAATGAACAAATCAAACTTGATTTTCATTAGAGTGTAGTTATTTCTTCACACTAGTAAATAAAAAAACCAAGACCCAGGTTTTATATATATACATAAAAATATACATATATAAAAGCAATGCAAACAATTATTGAGCTTCGTCTTCTGTACAAGAATGCCGAGCTAGTCTCTCTACATAAAAAGCAACTACAATTTGAGGACACTTCTATTTGCCTCTTTTGCCAGCACCAAGTCTGCCTCATCTGAATCTTTCCATTTTGTGAGAAACATCGATTCCCCACTGCAGTCTGTCGCATCACTTCTTTCAGGATCAAGACCTCTGCAAAGCCCCCTGGTTTGTTAGCAGCATCTCTTTTCTTCTTTGATTTGCTATCATCAAATTCACTGTCACACAAAGGTTTTCTTTTTCTATCATCTTTTTCTTTACTAGCTTTTTGAGTAAAGTCAAACTTAAGAAATACTTCAATTAGCTCTGGACTATCTAAATTTTCTTCAAATTTCCAGGTATTGTCAGTATCTGTAAATCCCTTCCACTGCAGGAAATATTCCACTTTCCTGTTCACCACACGTCAGCCCAGTACTTATTCTAGCACAAATTCTTCAGGCTCTGCCTCTTTGACTTTCTTACCCTTTCCATTCTGTTTCTTTCGCATTTGTTGCAATACAGTTTTACTGGAGGCCATTTTTTTATTGCAGACTTAAACAGCTTTTACTCACCACTTCTAAGCTGCTCTGGGTCATGGATCTGTGGCGTCTCCAGCTCTGTGTGCATCAAGCTCAAACCACATCCCTTTGGAAGGGTTTTGAAGTGGTTTTATTGGGATATTAAAGCAACCTTGCATACTACGATTTTTTTTATTGTGGTAAAAGATATACAACATAATATTTGCTGTTTTAACCATTTTTAAACATACAATTCATTACATTTGCTATGTGGTGTAATCATCACTTCTATCTATTTCCAAAACTATTTTGTTATCCTAAACATAAACTCTATACCCAGTAAGCATTAACTTCCCATTATGCCTTCCCCCCAGTTTCTGGTAGTATAGGTAAGTATTTTAAATACCACAGATCTAAGACTTACCTTTTCAAATTTATTGTATTGAGCAGAGTCAGAACTGTGTTCAACTTCCCTTTGAGAGGCCAGCAGCTAATGGCTACTTAGGAGGAACATAACTTCTAAAAGGTCTCAAAATAGCTCTCTTATTCTCAGCATGGGAGAACTTTCTCTGCTGTTTTTGCCATTTGACAGTGTCAACACTTACATGTCCTCATTCATGGGACAAAAGTATTAGTAGAAGAACACAGACCAGGGATTCTAGTGATGCCCTCATTAAGCAGAAAATAAACCATATTTTACACAAAAAAGCCAATTTTTTTTTTTTTTTTTAGCTTAAGCACCTTGTATTTGCCCCTCATTGTACAATTTTCCTAAGAGAAAATATGGACTACTTTCTAGAGGAAATGTCTGCTGACCTCTAATTAATATTACTAACCTTTGGAATTGTTAATCTTGTGCCTAAATATTTGTTGCATGCCTGAGATTAGTACCATTTATTGCCTCTTCAATACAGTCTCTAAATAATTTCTCTCATTAAGTCAAGCTATTGGTCTTGGTCTACTTTAGATCTAGTTTGGGTTTTAAATCAGGGTTAATGTGTTAAAAAATTATAGAGGACACCCATAAGCCAAAATTAATACAAGTTATAAATTTAGTTAAATGTATTGATGTCATATTGCCATTGATTCAACATGAAAAGATTTTTTTTTAAAGTTAGGATCATACAACGGACATTATAGATTAAAAGGTAAAAAAATGAATTTTCCCTTGAAGTATTACAGGGTAAAAAAACTTCACCAAAATATTTTATCAAGAAGTTCACTACTTTTTAATGAAAACTGTTTATAAGCATCATATTTGAAACAAAATTTCTTTGAATTCTTGTAGTACGAAAGTAATAAAGCATGTGTCAAAATGATAAAAACAAAATAAAGTAATATTTTACTCAGAGTATGGAAAGTTAGATTATGTTATGCCTTTCTTTTTATTTCAACTAAAACAAAATTAGCGAAGATGATTAATGTAAAAACATCTACAATTAATATCTATGATCCCTGGGTAACCTTTGATAGCACAGCTCATTTCATGGTAACAGCCTTTCTTTTTAAATTAAGATATACACATCTAGCCACCAAAAAGTAAAAAATAAAAATAAATAAAGAAATTAAGATATACATTATAATTTAACATAATTTTCAAGAGGGGATGAGCTCATATCTAAAAAATTCAATTCTATGAATGTCTCTCAAAAGAGAAAATCTGTGTTGTTAGAAATAACAAGCTGTCAGAAAAAAATATGGATTTTGTGTCAGGGTTCTAATAACTGAAATCAGTCTTTATACCTATATTTGGAGCTAAAATAAAATTTAAACAGTTCTCTGAAAACAGTAATAGAGAACATTTTCATCAGTTTAAGTGAGTGGTTCTGCTTTTATTTTGGATCTCTTAAAATGAATTAGAAATTAAACAATACAATATTTAATGTCCCCATGATATATTTATGTTTACGTTAATAATTTTTTAAAAATGACACATATGAACTGAAGGCCTTAACACCGAAGTTAAACTCATTGTGAGTTGTTAGGGCTTCGTAAAGTCTCTGAACTAAAATTAGAAGATAGAAAATTAGAGAAATGTATAAGAAATTATAAACTACTGCTAGAGACTGAAATTATTCTAGCATCAAATATATATTTTTAAGCCTGTAGAATATTATAAGAAATAAAGTTCAAAACAAAGAGAATTTAATCATCATTTTTAGAAATTAGAGATTTTTTATTTTCCTATATTTTTAGATAATCTATTTTTAAAAACTCAATTGTGCTAAAATTTTGCAG